CCTCTCCCAGATGGGTTTCAACTGAGCAGGGTAGTCTCACCAACACCTCCAAGTTGTTGGGTTTCACAGGATCAGCAGCTGGGCCCTGGGTTGTCCCCAGATGGAGTGCCCAGACTCGCCCTGGTTCTGACCCATGGAGATAGCCTCTTCCCCAGGTGTTGGGGCTAGGGGCATCCCCGTTCCAAGCTGTGTCTGCCTGTCTCCTTCCCCAGGCCTGTCCACCCCTGCGGCCGCCGCCACAGGCCCACCTGCGTCCACTTGTCTCCACTGCCGCCGGGCCTGTATGTCCCTGTCAGCTGCCGCTGGGGTCTGTCTGCCTCTCTGCGGGCTGCCAATGGGCCTGTATGTCTCTGCAGGCTGCCGCCATGGGCCTACCACTTGTCACTGCTGCCGGGCCCATCCACCTCTGTGGGCCTGTATGTCTCTGCCGGCTGCCGCTGGGCCTGTATGTCGGTCGCTGCCACCGGGCCAGTCCACCTTCGCGGGCCGCTGCCACAGGCCTACATGCATCTGCTTGTCTCCGTCATCTTGAATCCTCCTCTAGTTTTTTTTATAACGTTCTTCCCATTCTTTGTTTGTCTTTTCCTCTATATAATCCTCTACCTTCTTCATGATGTTATTCATAAGGCTGTTTTCTTCTGCTGCTTCCCATTTTTGATGTTCAGGTCTAGATGTTGGAGGAGGGTTAGATTCTGGTGATGCTGTATTGCTCTTCATTTTGTTGTATGTACTTCTGCCTTGACCTCTGCCCATCTCCTTGTGGTTCGTTCTTGGTCTTATCAGCACACGTGGTCCAGACAGAGCTGACAGATTCAGGAAGTCTCTATCTCTTGTCCAGATGGGTGCTCTCTTGTCCAGATGGGAAGTCCAGCACAGGATGGGAGCAGGGGGCCAGTCTCTAAGTCACAGGAAGTGGCATTTTGGGGCAGGCCTTGGAGATTGCAGGGTCTGCTGGGGGTCTTGGAGAAGGGGAGGCTTCCCTGTAGGGCTAGAAGGGAACCTGCCTCGTGTCCAGAACCTGGGGCCATGTTGGGTAGGTCTTCCCAGAGTGGCTGGTACCCAGGGATCAATAGTCAATATTCTTCACTGCTGAACCATTATTCATGTCAAAAGACATTTTTTATAGGCTGATCTTAATCGCTAATTTAACACTCAGTCTCAGAGGGAACTGTTTCTAAGCAGAATAAAGGTTTGAATGCCTCTATCACAGGCAGAAGATCCTGGAAATGCTATAGTTTCCAAATGTGCAGGCAAGAATACAAGAGGACAGAAATATGTAATCTGTCTACTTAGAGAGGGGAAATATTTTCATCATATGTTGACAGTGACACAAAACTATAAAAACATTATCTGAGCCATGTCAAAAATTCTCAGCTATAGATGCAAATTCTTAATGGCATAAATAAATTAAAACAGATATCTCAAAATCAATTTACCGAAACATTTCACAGACATGGTGAGAAATGCTAAATCTCGTGTATAAACATGTTATAATTTATAGAAAACATGAAGATAAGTTATGGAATATAAATAGAGTGGCTTAGCTATCAGCCCAAGTTATGAAGACTTGAACATGGTTCTTTCCCCTAGCTCCTGAACTGACGCTTAAGTCTGACCGTTAATTTAACCTAGGCAGGAAACTTTCTCATCCCTAGAACTTCTGTTTCAGAAATTACAATGAAATAGGTTGCAGAAGAAATTTTGATGTCTGAGTTCCATTTTGCTATGGAGAGGTTGAGAGTCTGAGAAATATAACAAATTCATTTGTCATGTTTGATTGTTATCTCTTAGAAGCCTGTTCCTTTCATGAGAAACAGGAAGGGAGGGGATCTGGAGTGGAGGACTGATGGGGAGAAATTGTGAGGAATAGAGTGAGAGGGATCTGTAATCAGATTATATTGTATGAGAAAAGAATATATTTTTCAATAACAGAAAAAAATGTTAATATTAACATTCACTTTCCTTAACCAAGTTTCATATAGGATTTAGAACCATGTTCAGGATATCTGTACTCTCCCATATAAAATTTTATTTTAACCAGAACCATTTTTAAGTGAGGGGAAATCTAGTACCTTGTACATCAGAGTATATTTCTCATTCCTTACCAGTTTCTAGATGATGTCTTATGAGGTCAGATGACTCTGACCTTCTTGAGCAAGAGTCTCCCACAGTGCTTAATAATTTTGCAATTATTTGTCCAAGGTTCCTTGGCTATAAATAAATTTCTAAGAACATATGTTGACTCTGATGTAACTTCCATCTCCCTGACAAGAAAGTATGTATGATGTTCTTATCATAATGGCCAGCTTTTTTTTCAGCTTTAACTAGAGTACTGAAGAATTGAAACACACACACACACACACACACACACACACACACACACACACACACACTCAGCTTAAAATAAATGAGAACACACACACAAACACATTGTTTTTGTGGCATATTAAGATGTGTTAAGTGCCATGATACTTGACAGTAAATTATATGGCACTAGAGCAAATATCCCCTATAAAACTTTGTCTCTGATTTTCCTGTTTTGAAATATATTGGTAGAAAAAATGGTAGAATTAAAAGCAAAATGTGTGCTAGACATTCACATTTTATTTTAGAATTCAAATTTTAAGTATTCTTTTTAGCTTCAAACTTGATGAAAATTCAATGCAAAAATTTCATTTTCAAAATAAAAGGCAGATTGATTTATCAGTTGACTTCCCCTGCCAGCCATCTCCCCACCACAGATTAACACTGGAGTAAAAGGAAAATTCTCTTTAGGACTCATTTAAAATGGCATGTTTTTAACCGAGAAAAATCGGTTCATCAGAAAAAGCCGTGTCTTGTAAAATCTGTATGGTCGGGAATTCATTATTTAAACGATTTAGAACTTAATTTAAGCAATGAAATCCTCAAACTGAAAATGCAAGAAGAAACGCCCTTGATGCCACTCTATTGCGACCTGGAAGTGCATCTCTATTTGTTGTTCAGGGAAAATCGCTAATATGGCGAAACTTTCATTTAAACAAAGAAATCCCGAGTTTAAGCCACTCTTCTGTAATCTGAAATTGCGAGTGTGTTTGCTGCTCAGGGGTAATCAGAAATACTGAGAAACTTTCATTACACCAAGGAAATTCCGTGCCCAAAGCTATTCTCTTGCAACCTGGAAGTGAGGCTGTGTTTGCTGCTTGGGGGAAATCGCCAATAAAGAAAAACTTTCATTTAAATGATGAAATCCCGCGCTCAAGCCACTCTCCTGCAACCTGGATGTACGACTGGGTTTGCTGCTTGGGGAATGGGGGAATGGGAATCGCAAATACAGAGAAATATAGAAAAACTTTAATTTAAGCAATGAAACTCCGCGCTGAAGGATTGTCAGCTGCAACCCGGAAGTACGACTGTATTTACTGCTCCGGGAGGAAATTGCAAGGAAAGAGAAACTTTGGTTCCTATAGTTTCTTCATCTTTCCTCTGCAGCCTGGTCCAGTCCACTGAATCAGATTTTGACGCACTTCTCCTAGGTGTTTCTTAGGATCAGTGACTGGACATCAGTAAGCTTTTAGTATATTTGGAGAATATTGAAAAGTAAAGGAAATAGGCAGCTTTAATGTGGGTTTTCAACAGTC